GATTTGAAAAGAAAAGAAATTGATTTTATTATTTTCTACACTTATTGATGTTGAATTAGCAGTTACATCTTTTCCTGAAGTAGATGGTTCTTCTAACTTGACAAAATTCATGATACTGTTAGAAGAAACTCTGCAGTTGAGAAGGGAAAGATGTTTTGCAGCTAAAAGGGGCATTACATGCAAGGCATTAGTAAAATTAAGTATCGCATATATATATATATAATATATATATATATATATATATATATAATATATATAATATATATATATTATAATAAGAATCTATATATATAATAAGAAATAAAAATATATTTACTTAAATATATATATATATAATATACAACAGTACAAATTCCGAGATCCGGACATCCAATATCTGGAATGATCTAAATCGGATCTCAGAAAGCGGATAAAGCCACCACCAACCAATTTTTTAGGGCATTTTTGGAGGGAAGGGGTATGCTTTACGCATGCGCATTAGATTTTTTTCCTCATCATAAAAAAAACATGCCGGAAATCCCGATTCTTAATCTCAGTTTGGCACTAAATAAAACATTATTGAAGAAATAATTATTTTAGCATAAATTTGTGTGATTAGTAGAAGGTGATCAAAAATTAATGTATGGCTTAATTCAAACAAACACAGAAATTACGCTAAGCAAAACCATGTAAAAACAAATTGAAATGATAAAACGAAACATACCTTTCATGTGAATTTTCAGCGCTGACTCTCCCATTCTAGAAATTTCAATTTGTTTCAGACAAAGACCACATTTAGCTTTATAAGGATTGTCATCCATCAATATCCAGTCTTTGTAGTCAGCTTGATGAAGCCACAGTTTATTGAAAATGCACTTTCCAGGCATCTCGTTCCTATTGGCGTCGGAAGGGTTGTGGCCTTCCAGGTTGGGATTGCTCTAATTTTGGCAAATATTTTCAGAATCCCCCCCTTTTTTTTTTCTCGAGCACCTTCATCATCACTTTCGCCTCTTAAAGAACTTCCAGCTTCACGCTTTCGTCACAATCTGCCTAAATTTATGGATAACACCTGTTTCGAAAGATTGGGTGAATAGCCAATCAGACACCGATACTTTCGTTCTAGGGTAGCTAATTGTTTTTTTATCGTTTGCAACGCAAATCCGCCAACAGATTGGTTAAGAGCCGTGTAATTTTAATTCCATATTCATGAGAAATCGTAATTCACACTTAGAATGGCAATCATTAGAAATGATAAGAAATGTCAAATGAGCAAAATTAAGGACCGTTTATTCATTTTGACCAAAATTAAGGACCAAAAATCATTTTTGAAAAATTTAAGGACTTTTAAGGACGTAAGAACCCTGTATCTGTGTAAAAATAAACATTCCTATTTGAAAAGCAAGCAAACGCCATTGTGAAGAGCAGTGGTTTCAAGCCACGACCACCGAGCCTCTAGAGGATTGTGAGCATTGTGACACAACGCTCTAGTGGCGCAGTGGTCGTGCCCTGAAACCACAAAGCAAATGCCATAAATATAAATAGGTTTGTTTATATATGCAATTCAATTATTGTAATTTTTATTGTTAATAATAAAAATCATAATATGCTATGAATAACTTTTGAAATTTCAAGTTGTTTATATTAACAAAAGGAAGTTATTTTGTCTCATTGAAAACAAATTTTAAAAGGCAGCCCAAGTACTAAGACAAAACGTATGATTCTGCAGTCATTTTGTGTTATTTAGAGGTAATGTGTTATTTAGAGGTAAAAGATCAGTAATCAATTGATTTTCACTCAAAAATTTTGTTAAGAAGAAGAGAAATAAATTCAAAAATTGGTGGTTTCAGGGCGCAACCACCTCGCATCAAAGGGTTAAATAATCAATTGAAATCTTTTCATCCTCAATCCTTATTGTTTTCTTCAAAATCAGTGGCAATATTTTCTGGGCTTAAAAACCATACTACAGGTTTTGTTGTCAATTGCTTAATTGATGATTGGAGCCCACTCATCACAATGAAGACTTCATTTACAAAGGCTGTTTGCACATTTTTCAGACAACTTTCATTATATTTATACAAATATTTTACCTAAAATTTTTGTGTTTTCAATGTTCCATTTGATAATTATTATTCTTCACTATCTTTCTACACAGTAATACCATAATTTAAAAGAAAATAAAGCCTTTTTTTTAGTACTGAAAAAGATATTTCACCCCATTTTTCTTGAATGGCTTTCGAAAGTCCAAGGAGTGTCAATGTTTGGACAATTCGCTTTTTAAAAGTCCAAAAGCGCAAAAATCCATGGATGATATGTCAGCAGATTTAGTACGGATATGAGTGAAGGGGGCCTTGATACATGTTTCTTGTTCCATTTTTACCAAAAAATTAACTGTGGATTTTGATATGTGGCTACTTGTTTTGTCTCCATGCAGTTCTACAGATTAATGGAACTGCGGGTAAAGAAAAGGTATTTCATATTTGAAAACTGGGTATAAGATATGTTCCTGATAATATGTGGAACGACTTCAACAATTTTCTACATTCTCTTTAATTTTTATTTGTTGTTATATCAAAACCAACAACAATCCTAAATTCCTTTGAAAAACTTTCTTTAGATACTTTCAACCATAGTCTAAGATATTTTTCTTCTATATGACGATAATAAATGGATCACTTTTATTGCAGTCATTTAATAATTTAATTGCATGCAAAACACTGATATCTGTTGGCTGATTGATGAATATAAGAGAAAAAAAGGAATGATATTGTTAAAAGTAGTACTCTTTGCATATGAAACTCGACATTTTGATCAAACATGCGCCAAAAGGTAATAAATAAGACTAAATATGAAGCAGTTTCAGTTAATTAACCCCTTCAGCCTTGTAAGTGTATTTTAAACATTTTGAATTATTAATTCCTTTTAAATGTTTCTGAAGTTTTTAACTTACTTTGTTCTTCTTAAGCTTGTAAAGACCTTATTTAATTCTAACTAATTATTCTTAGTTTTAGAAACTTTTCTTTTCCTTCCGATTTCAATTTCCTGTTAGAATGTAAATTTAATGATGTATATGCAAATCTAAGTTAGTTCGAAACAGTAATTAAGCAGCAGTGTTAAGAGTTCGCGGTGGGAGAGTTAGTTCTAAATTTATGTCGCATGGCTGAGTTAGTAACCTTGTAGTCAATAGTTGGTGCAAGCCACTTTCTTTAAATTGTATTGATATTCTAGGGTCAGCTCTGCTGTGTACAGCTGATTTAGCAGTTTAGATAAAGAAGTTGCCAGTCACATAGCCAATCTTTGCTGTAGTGATTGTACATCTTATTTATTGTACTTCAAGTTACTTAACCACAAGTGTTGGTTAATCGTGAGCACTGAGTAAGTGCGTTGTTGTTCAGCTTAATAAAGTTCAGTTAAAATAAAAAGGTTATTAAAACCTTCTGCAGTCATCTGTTCTTTCAAGACCTAGCAAGAATTCATTACCTAGTCTTTCAATAGGATCTATCAGTTGATGATTCTGAAACACACAAAAGAAGACATTGCAAGCTGAGTATTATTTCTGCCTTTTTTAAATAAAGATTTCGTGGTTATTTTAACGCATGATTCTTTTGTAGCTGTGCTACAGGATTACTTACTCAAATGCCTAAGTAATGCATTTAAATTTTCAATACACACACATCAGTTATCTTTTACTAAAACTTAAATTAGATACGAGTAAGAATAATAGATTGGATAAATAATAAGCTGGATCATATCCAGAAAATTAAGGAAAAGCGTAATTTGCAGTACTAGCTGAATTTAATCAGAACCTAATACTTTCTACTTTTTCTCTGCTATGCTGCCGCCAACAACAAGAAAAAAAAAGACACAGTATGTGCTAAATTCCATTCCAAACAGTGATCTTCAGGGTTCACTTATCATGTACAGGGACTAATGAGATACAAAATGTGCGACTCACCACAACCATTTGGAAGACAAAAATAAAAATATGATTTGCTAGCAGAGAGATGTTAAAGACAAAAGAACATGCAAGTTGATTATATATACAATACCATCTTGTTACAGTCCCGAATATAAATTAATCTCTAAGAAGTCTGTCAAATAGTATCTCTTTCAATTCAGAAGTCAAACAACAAAAATCAGCGTTATATTTACAATTGTAATTATAACAATTGTAATATAATATTGTAATATATTACAATTGTAAATATAACGCTGATTTTTGTTGTTTGACTTCTGAATTGGTACTTGTTCGGCGTGTTATTGTGTCTTAAGTATCTCTTTCATTTTCAAAATGATATTACTTAAAAGTACAGATGAACTTTTTCTGTATAAACCACTTATACAAATATCTATCTGCAGCAGTTCAATCATCAATTCTTGTTTTCTCTCTTTTAAAACCTATTTCTCTTACAGCATTCACAAAATATTTAATTTACCTTCTCCTTTCCTTAAATTTTATATTATGCCTTTGGGTATTCCATACTCTCAATACATGCAAGTTTTAAAATGACCACTTTTTATCCTTTCAACAATTTTTCCTTTAGGTTTTCTTCAACAGGGTTATTTCTTCTTCTACCACACATCATTACTATTTAACCCATGATAATATTGACCTATACTAAGTAGTAAAATTCCAAAAATAAACTTAAAAGACTGTCAAAGTTCTATATTCAGAATTAAAATGCACTCTACTTTACTAATAAAAGGTGTATCACTTACGTGATATTAAAAAAGATAGAAATAAACCTCAACACAAATTATCTTCAGCTGGTGAGAAGGTAAAAAATTAAAGGGCTCATACATTGAATTTTTTTAATATGAAAAAAGGACCTAAAATATATAAGGGGGAGAGAACTGGAAGAAAAACTAGACTCTAATTGTAAGAAAGCAGTACTGCAAAAATTATCTTTAGAATGTTGGGAGACACAATCATGTATGATGTCAGAAATCTTACTGATAGAAGTTACCGTATGTTTTAGCACTGATGCACATATGCCATAATATAAAAACTGCATGTTAAATACCTTTTCTGCTTTCTTGTCCCCTTTCTCTAAAGCTACAATTGCTTCTCTCAGAACTTTAACAAGCTCACTAGGGCTCTTTTGAGATTTTCCAAACAATGGCATAATTGCTATATAAAAACACACATTTTTATTCAAAAATGAACAATATATAGACATAAAAAATGTGTAGAAAAATAAAACATTCTATTATATTATATCGATAAAAATTTATAAGAAAAATACAAGAAGATGTATAAAAATTCAGAAAAACTTTTTCTAAGAAAAATACGTGAAGATGCATAAAATTCAGAAAACTTTTTCTTAGAATTTATAGATATTATATTATGCGAGACTAGAAAGTAATGTCTGACTAAATTAAACTGAACTATTTATAGTCATATAGTCAGAGGTCTTTTATATCTCATGAAAGTAATTTTGCTATAAATTACTGTGGCTCGTGAATAAAATAATCAAAATGTTAAAGGCTGATTATAGATTTCGTCTTATTTAATGTCACGATCAACCTGAATGATAAAGTATTTGTGAAGCATGCATTAATTACAGCATCATACACAGAAATGTTTTATTTTCTAATAACCTTCATTTGAATTTAATTTTTACAAAACTGTTATAGTTCATTAGATGACAATAAACTACCCATTTTGGATGAAATAAAAAAGCCAAATACGTAATAAACATTTAAAAATATCGCTTATAGTGATGATCATTAAAGTTATCAAATTTATTCACATTTGAAATGAGCAAAAAATATTTTCCTAACAAATCTATCTCTGTAACACGATTCCTGTTTGTTATTACATGAACAAGTCTTAATCAACATTAGATTTCTTTTGTGATTAAAATGAAAAACATAAGAATACTTTTGTTTAAAATTAAAATAATGCATTACAAGATCACTGAATTTTGATTAAAAGCTAAAACAAAATAACATTTTCCATTTTTTCTTTGGTCAGTTACCCATAAAATGTTAATATGTATCAAACTGATCCGCTTGAAGAAAATTTTAAATTACATTTCTTATTAAGGTGCAACAATATCACAGGAAGAGCACTTATCATAAAAAAACCAACATAATACAGTCAAAAGTCGTTAATCTGGACTCGTCGGGACTTCGGCAATTCCGGATTATCGATTTTTCCGGATAACAGATCATCAGTTTAAATCTGGTAAGATGGCATGCAGAAATTATAAAATTAAAAATATGAAACCGTAATTTATGAAATAATGAACAATTATGATCTAAAGGGTATCAAAATTTAAAAAAAAAAAAAAAAAAATTATTTGTTTACTTTTTAAACATTTCTTTCAATGTAAGTTGTTTAAGTTGCTTCGTTTTATGTGATAATACTTTCTCTTTAATTCTATAAACAGACATAATTTCTCCTTCAGTTACAAAGTTCCGCTGTTAAAGTCCTATAATTGCTATGTCGAGAATACCGACTAATTAGTCAATCAAAATTTTTCGTTTTCAATAACCTCTGTATCACTTTCTTCTTTATCGGAAGCGAATTATAATGACGAGGAATTTAATTTAAATCATATCAAAGACGGAGTACATCAAGATGAAATACTACATTTAGTAAGGAATTGTAAGCGAAATAAAATAAAAACATCTGCCCTGAAGATAGGGATAGTGCTGACAGATTAATTTCCAATTCATTGCGCGCCGCGGCGTTCCCCCCCCCCAGGCCGCAGAGCAGCGTGAAACTGATAAACAGATTTTCGGAATGGTTTGAGAAACGAAGGATATGCCTTTATCCATTTTTTGCAGCAATTCCACTTTTTGTTTAATGGACTTCTAAACATACTTTCACTTTGTAGATCCTTTACATATTAGTAAATACATATCGGAAATTCTATTTGACATAATCGAAAGTTCAAGCTTACTTTTATACAATTGCTCTAACAGTCTGCAAAAATAATAAGCTGGAACCAATTCGAAGATTCAGGAACAACGCAATCTGCAACATTAACTGAATTAGATAATTTTAGCTTAGCTTTTACCGTCCGTTATACATTAAACGCGCAAGCGTAAACGTATTACGCACATGCGCACACGCATATTCGCAGCCGTAAAAGTCTTACTGCGCATGCGTCAACGCGACGCATGCGCAGAGAAAGTTTGTAGCTTTGAGGTCCGGATTATGGGTGTCCGAATTAACGACTTTTGAGTGTAAAAGGTGGTGTTACTGATCATACATATTTTACTGACATATTAGATAATTAATATTAGGTGCTTGCAAATCTCTGCAGCAACTATGGCAAGTTATCTACAATATTTTAGTTACCTCTAATGTGGAAACCTTCATTTTCCCAAAACTAACATCTAAAAGATGTTAGTTTTGGTACTACTTTCATATATGCCCTCAGATGTATGGCATCACCAAATGTATATGTGTTCTGCGCTGGATTTGGCGCAATTGTGTGTTGTGCGATGGTTTTTGGCCCGATGTTGTTTGCATGGAAACCCTTTTGACGTTGAAACTTTACTGGAATTTACGGAAATTTTACTGGAGTGGCTTTATTTGCTGGTTGGTTTGGTGGGTATTTTGAAATGGCTTATGTTGCGATGAAAGACGTGGTGGCAAAATTTCAGTCACGTATTTTGGATTGCGTGCAAGGTAAATCTAGTATTAAAAAGTACGATGTTGGTGTTATTAATGATTCTTTTGATCACGGGTGTGTTTATGTGGATCAAAGTGTGTTTTTGGAATTTCTGTAAGAATTTTAGATGGGGGGGAAGGATAAAGAAAGTGGTGGAAATTGACGAGTTTTGCTGATGTTTGAAACTGGTATTTCTGCTGTTTGAAGAAGCATTCACAATGGTAAATGCATTTTATTTTATTATTGTTCTTACTTTGTAGAATGTTATGTTCAGTGTTTTCTTGTCATTGTCATTGTTCCATGAAATTCTATCATTATTGTTGTTTTTTGAACTGTTTGTAATTTATTTTAGCTTATTTTGTTGATTTGTGCAAAATGCCGAGGCTGTACGCGATGCCTAGATTGTGCAATTCGCTGATGTTTTTTTAAGTTAAAACAGAATGCTATGTACATGGTACTCTTTGAAATTTATTGTTGTTATGTTAGTTTACTTTAGCGAGGTATACGTAATTCCTAGATTTCTAGACTGCAGATATTGTGCAATTCTCTGATTTTTTTTTTAAAGTTAATACAAATGACAGTGTGCATGGATTCTTGTCAAACATTTTTGGTTAGAAACCAAACAAAAAATTTATGTTTCTGCTATTTAAAATTTTTGTTTTGGATTTCTGGTATAAATTGTGTGTTAAAAATGTGGTTTTTGCAGACATTTTAGACTTAAAGTTCAAAATGTAGACAAAAAAATTACATAGTAATATGGTGCAGTAAAGTGTCTCACCAAAAATGTTTGGCAAGAAATTTGTCGCCAACCGAGGGCATGTATAAGAGTAGTTCCTTATATTCATTTCTTTGTTAAAGTGATATTTCACTTGCTTTTCTCTAAATAAAAAAAGCCTCTAATATGGTAACCCTTATTTCTCCCACATATACCTTTACTCTTTTATGTCTTAGCTTCTTATATTGTTCTTTGTAATAGTGATAATCCACCTGTTTTATATATATATATATATACAGGGTGATTATAATTAAAGTTTAAGTTTCAAACGCTATAAAAAAGAACCACTGATGAAAATGATGTGAAATTTGAAAGGAATGTTATTGAAGAAGGCGGAAAGCGTATGGCAGAAAAAAAATTTAGTTTCAAAGTTAGCAAACAGATGGCGCTGTAAGCAGCAAAATCACGACGAGAAACGAGAAGCGATTCGTAAAACATGGCTAAGGTGGAAGTTACACATTAAAATGCTTTGACAAATTAGAATTGTTGAATAATTTTATTTGCATGACTGTACATATCACATCGAAAGGGACAAGTCGGTTTCAAGAGTTTTTGCGGCGACATACCGCATAAGAACCATTCATCAAAGAAGTTCGGAACTGTCGCGAGACTGGCACAAAATGTTCAATATGTGTTGTGTGCAACAAGTTGAAAGCGACAAACAGCATGTTCCACAACGGATCGCAGTGTCTCCGGGGTGATGTTCAGAATGTGTTGCGAAATGCGTGCCTTTAATTCTGCTAAATTTGCAATTGGAGAACGGAACACAGCATCCTTCAGATATCCCCACAGCCAGAAATCACACGGAGTAAGATCAGGCGATCGGGACGGCCAGACTGTAGGGAAATGACGGCCGATAATTCGAGCATTTCCGAAATGGCGCCTCAGCAGCTGCTTCACGGGATGTGCAATGTGCGGAGGAGCGCTATCTTGCATAAAAATGATTTCATCCACGCTGTTGCAGAGCTGGAATCACGTGGTTGCGCAAAAGAGACGCATACCTCTGACCAGTGACGGTTGCAGTAACTGGACCGGAAGCACTCTGCTCGAAAAAATGTGGTTTTTAGGGATGAATGATGGCCGTAAGCCCACACCATACCGTGACCTTTTCAGGATGAAGTAGTACGGGGGTGCGTTGCCAGTGATTTTCTGTTGCCCATATTCGACAATTCTGGGTATTCACGTATCCTGTCAGATGGAAATGGGCTTCATCTCTCCACAAAATTTTCCACGGCCATTCATTATCCACTTTCATGCAAGCCAGGAATTCCTAACGCAAACGTCTCCCTAGCTGTCAGGTCAGGCGGAAGCACTCCTGCACATGGCCAATTTTGTACGGATAGCATTGCAGGATGTTTCGTACAATTTTCAGCAGTGTGCTCGTAGGCCTGTCCTAGTGTTCCGGCAATTCCTCGTGCACTGCACTGTTGCACACCACCGGCCGACCCCTCCTGTAATGCTGTGACCACTTCTTCTTCAACTACCGTCGAATACACTCGTTTTCTCCCTCTACCAGATTACACATCAAACGAACCTGTCGTTTTCGAATTTTTGCATTATTTTCTTTAGACCTCCACGACACTCATTGGACCAACGCCTTCTTCTATATCCTTTCAGTGTCCTGAATTTTTGCAGAACTACTCTTGCACATCATCATTCTTGTAATACAGCTTTACCAGCAGAGCGCGGTCCTGAGGAACACCCATGGCGAACATTGGACGCGAAATG